CCAGCGAGTGCAAGTAACCAAACGGGGCTCTGGCATTTGTAAGTGCAAAGTCGAACTGCTTTTCACATGTGTAGACATGTGGTGCGCTTACAGTAAAAGCAGTCGCTAACTACCCACCATGATTATCATGGCCTGTACCACGTGTACTAGGGATAAGCAAAAAAAAAAAAACTAATTTTCAACTTCTTCCATAAAACCAGTGAACCATTGTGGGTAGCTTTTGCTGCTTCATACATTGAATAGTATTCGGTTTGTAGAGAGTCCGTGGTAAATCCATGTATAATACTGTATGTCTTAATACAACAACAACAACAACAAAGCCTTTATTAAGGGCCACTCGCCCTATACAGGATTCGCCAGTTTACAAGGGATGGGGAGAACACTGTGTGGCCTTTTTCCGGGATATAGTCTTGTGGAATCCAAATATCGCCATCGCTATATACCTATTCTTTGATATTTCATTAATTAGTGCCGGAAATGAAGGACAAAGTTGCCCCGTTTTATCATTTAGTTTTCGTCTTTCCTCAGACAGAGCAGCACAGTCAAATAAGTAGTGCAACATCTCCGTTGTTATTCCTGATCCACAGAAAGTGCATTTCAGGTATATGTCTTAATAAAGGTTTTTGTGTGTGTGAAGAGTATTCAGATTCTGTCGTAGAGAGAGCGATACATTCTATAAAAATAAAAGTTAACCTCTCCCGTCAAAATAGACGTCAAATCTAGACGCCATCTAGTAACCGTCGCCGCAAACTAGCGGCCTCAGGTCGGTGACAAAGCCACAACACCAGCTTTGGCAAACTGAGAAGCGTCCACCTGAAGACCATTAGAGTTTGCCATTGTTGTTTTCTGCTACACCAGGAAATAGCTAGGTAGTATAAAAAGCTATTTACCATAAGAATTCCTATCTTCTTTATCACTATCTCAGTCCGCATATGCAAAATCTGCTAATCTCCTTCCATTTTTTTTTTCTGAATGTTAACTTGATATTTTTTATTTTCTTTAGATATCTCAGAAGATGTTTTACAGTGTTAAAATGATATTGTAAAGGACAATTTTTAAACTTACTGATGTACCATACAAGATATGCAATGTCTGGCTCTGGCATTCATGCTAGTCTAAGCAAATTTCTGTTAACTTGTTGATAAGGGACTCGGTATGTTTCCCTTTCTTTAGGAACTTCAAAAATATTCCAGGATCAAGAGATATCGAGGCTTCTTTCGAAGATTTCATTGCAGGTTCCTTAAGAATTTCTTCCATGTAATAAGTATTGTCAAGCTCAAGATCCGAATGCTTATTTTTCTTAATTCTCTTACAGAGAGTAAATCTCTCGCCTCACCTAAATCTTAAATATCAAGTCCCTCGTAAATACTTAATTTAAATTCTCCATACGACCCAGTTCTGTAGGAGTAGTAACAAGTATATCGCCCACATCAACTCCAAGTATGATGTCTTTACCAAAACAAACGCATTAAAGTCCATTTTCGAACGCTTATAAATCCCACTAAAGTCAAAATCTGAACGAGTTTTTTTACTCCATCCGTTCAAAAAGACATAATTCATCCCTAGAAATCCACGTACAACAGGTTTTTCACGACATTCTCTTAAATTTCTATTTGGGCATTTCTTTCGTTTGAAAACTCATCTTGAAGCTATACCCTTTCTTAATGGATCGCCTTTTGACTCAAAATACCCTTTCTATTATTTTGTCTTGGAACGATTTTCCCCAAGTTATTCTTCTTCTAATTCTTTCAATTCCCTTTGGAGAGACTGCTTCAGTGGAGTTCTATAAAAGTCTGTAATGCTTATGGTGTGAATTTAAAGATAAATGAATAAAATTACAATTTCTTGAGCTCTGGTTTTTCATTAGGTATATGCGCTTAAGTGAAGTTGGAAACTGGGGCGTGACAGAGCTGGGCGCTTCGTGAATGTGCGACAAAACTGGATGGTCGAATCACGCGCAGTTGGAACCAGTGGACCCTTTGACGCTCCAGGAATGTCGGCGACAATGTCTGCGGCCAGAACGTCCATGTAATGTGTCAGCGCTGTCGTCTACATTCCACTTTGAAGTAAGCCACGGATTTTTGCCGGCCATCTTATATCTTTCATCCTACAAGGTGCAAGTCAAACAGCCATCGCCTGGAAAAAGATCTACTGTAATTGAGACTATGATGATGTCCGACATCACCAGCAGGTTTAATGAATCCACGATCCAGTGCGAAATCGGCGAGAATAAACCCAAGTCTAGAGGGTTTGAATAGAGAAAGCTCCAGGAACAAGAAAATGTGAGACCAAGTGAGAACTTACACTGGAAAATAGACAGCGTTTCCTAATGTATGAATTTCAAGCTTCCGAAAACCTCTCTCTTTCAATTTTATACAACTCACTTGGTATCCCCCCCCATTTTTATAGTTATACTTTTACCCGAGTAAAAGTTTTGTCTAACGAACATTTGTTAAAACAATTCTAGCAAACATCCAATCCCTACTGAATCTATACTTGGCAAAAGTCCAACCCACCAGCGAGTGCAAGTAACCAAACGGGGCTCTGGCATTTGTAAGTGCAAAGTCGAACTGCTTTTCACATGTGTAGACATGTGGTGCGCTTACAGTAAAAGCAGTCGCTAACTACCCACCATGATTATCATGGCCTGTACCACGTGTACTAGGGATAAGCAAAAAAAAAAAAGATTGATTATCTGCTCCACCTAACTGTACCCGTTCAAACGTTGCTGTATTTGAACAAAAAGACAATTCTGATACCTAAAAACATGCGTATACTTATATAACAAAAATTTCCAAAGTGTGAAAAATGCATAAAACACCTGAACTTATATTTGTGCGCAAATGGCAATCATTTTCCAATTCTGTCAGTAATGGCGTGTAAGAATGCAAATTCAGCCAATATGCAAAGATATAAATATCTCTCAATCAATTCCCGTGAAATACGAACCTGTCATACCGTGACCTGATTGGATGCTCGAGCTTAATCGTGATTGGACGACGTTAAAATTTATTTGCTTTTTTTTTTCTTCTCCCCGACATTTTGAATGTTTACATTCTTTCTTTAGCACACATATTGACTTTGTTTATAGGAATTACTGTTAGAATCATTTACCTTCTCAAACCTTGTGATATATAGGGGCTTCGTTATATTACCATTATATACTGTATATAAACTCAGAGCCGTTCGCTTCTCCTATCTAGCTAAATATGAGCACTGTAAAATACACTTATGGACAAAACTTAAGGAAGTTGTACCTTTTACCATGTATATCGGGATTCAGACAATAACTCTGAAAGATATTACAGTGACCTTTATTGAAGACACACGAGATAACCAAGTGTAAACAAAAAATGCCTCTGTTTTCTTCTTCTTCTTCAAAAAAATAAATAAATAAAAATAGACGACCAGCGACATCAAAGATTTTCCACTTCCTTAATTTTTGTCCATGAGTGTATATATCATTATGGTTGGAAAAAAAAACCCTCTTCATTCCGTCGTTTTTTTTACTTATGCATAGCTATATGGAGGGAAGATGAAATATAATTAAATAATAATAGATAAATATTCTGATCATAGATCATATAAGTGAACATTGCTGATAACTACCTCCAGCCTGCATTACGCTGATGAGGACCAACAGCCCGAAACGCGTGCGTGATTAGTTTTTCTGGATTAACCAATGCTTTAGACACACACTTTATTGCATTTATTAAAAGTTGACACGTGCCTTTTTGTACATGTAGATTATATGTGGTCGAAAAGAAAACCCAACTCTATGTGACAGTTAAACAAGATTTAGATAGAAACTTGTGAATAATTCTGTGACCACATTAGACCGTTCTGTGCCGAGAGAATGTCCCGTTGAATTATCGGTGACAATCTGGGTCAGTAATGACCACGGCATGTTATCTCACACCTGGTCTACATACCTACCTTATCTCGGTGTAGATGACGGTAGATCTTACACTGCTCAATCTCTATACATTTAGAGTGTGAAGAACGAATCTACACTCATGAACAAAATTTAAGGAAGTTGTACCTTTTACCATGTATATCGGGATTCAGATAATAACTCTGTAAGATATTACAGTGACCTTTATTGAAGACACACGAGATAACCAAGTGTAAACAAAATTGCCTTTGGCTTCTTATTCTTCTTCGTCTTCAAAAAAATAAATAAATAAATAAATAATAAAAAATAAGAAGAAGAATAATAAAAAGACGACCGGCGACATCAAAGACCATCCACTTCCTTAATTTTGCCCATGAGTGTAATTTTATCAATCCTTCTTAAAATATCTTCATTAATTTAGGGCCATCAATCGACGAAAATTATAAAAGTATATTTTTTTAACTCTATACTTCTCTTCTAGTAATTTAAAATTCATTTTTTTTAAAGTGGCGTTAAAAATATGATTATAAATCTTCTTAAATTTCTTTTTTTTCTCAACGTTTCGAACATTCTGTTCTACCTTCCTCAGGGGAAGATCACCGAAACCTCTGGAAATTTTTAGAACGGTTGATGAGCAACTATATTTTTTTGACAAATCTCACCCAGCACTGATTATTTTTTACATAAATATTTACAGTTAGAATTAGTCTTAACACATGTCTTATTTTTATTTATCACCAGTTGCAAACAAGACACGCTATATATCCGATCTGGATAATTGCAGGTGAACCTATTTACAATAATTGTAGTAGAGTAGGTAACAGAATTATCAAAAAGAAAATAAACAATTAAGAAAAAGAGCATTAAATAAACATATACATTAAACAAATAAGCAACAACATAAGACATATGTAAAATACAATATAACGCGGCTGATGATTGTAAAACGAAAATTGAAATTATACCGGAATGTTTCTTTTATAAAAATCGAAATTTATTTTCAAAGAGAAATAGCGACATTTCTAACTTTGAGGATGAGGTATGGAAAGGTGAAACATGAAGAGTAATGGAGAACGGAAAAATAAAAAGTGTCCAGGGGCGGGAATCGAAGACAATCGAGTGGACAAGGCACCTGCCCGGTAAGCAGAAGGGTGTGGGTTCGATTCCCGCCCCTGGACACTTTTTATTTTTCCGTTCGCCATTACTCTTCATGTTTCACCTTTCCATACCTCATCCTCAAAGTTAGAAATGTCGCTATTTCTCTTTGAAAATAAATTTCGATTTTTATAAAAGAAACATTCGCGGTATAATTTCAATTTTCGTTTTATAAGACATATGTCTTGATATAATGTATTGATAGTAAACCAAGATAGTTAATTAATTGTGTAAATTTCAGCTTACAGGACACAGCTGAAAGGTCACTTTACAAACCCACAGTATCATGTGACAAGTTGAATCAAAAGGATTGACCAAATAGAACAACTGGCTAATAGCTGAGCAGAAGACTTTTCTTCAGGAGTTCCTTTCTGTAATATGTTTTGTTTATACTTATTATTGATGAAATATATATTTTATAAAAGACTATTTTATTTATCTTAAGTGAACAAAGTGCAACATACTAATAATGTAAATATAGAGAGAAAATATCTTTATTTTACGGGGCTGCTAACCAAAAGTTATGATTTTTGAGCCCAAACTCGATGTCAGATGGCAAGGGACCCTAGGATCTGGCGGCAGGAGATGTCTCGCAGGGGTGGTGGAAACGTTGGGCAAGCAGGGGAACAGCGCCAGGGTGCAGTGAGGCGGGTGCCTTGAATAGGCCAGGAATCCAGGAGAAGTGGCAGACGGAATTGGAGGCAGAAGGTCCTTGAAGCCTAGAACTTGAGGGCCCTAATGTAAATATAGATGTATTTTACATATTTATAAAAAACAATAATATTGGTCGATGGTCAAATATATTTAAACATATTATATTACACTTTCAACTTAACGTGGAAACTCACGATGGCAATGTTGATTTTTTTCATTATTTTTTTTATGTACAAAATTTGAATGATGAGTGTGTGGACAACTAGATTTAATTTAAATAATAATGAAATTTATTTATATACTTCTCATAGAGATATTTTCATAGTAATTTATACATGATGGGGATCGTAAAGATAGAGGCTGCCTGGCCGGTATTCATATTTCTTCCAATAAAAGATACATCGGCCAGTAAATCTTTTTATTGTCTCGACAAAAATGGGGATATTTTTAATTGGAATTTATATATCTTAGGGATATATATATATTTAAAGGGATTTATATGTTAAGGAATATGTAATAGAGATATTTTCATATTGATTTATTTATTATAGGGATATTTTCGGTATAAAACGTTTTGTTACTGAAATTATTTTTACTGAGAATCAGGCTTCGCTCAAAGAAAGTCAGACAATCTAGACAACGAGAAAATTATTATTCAATTTAAAGACCTATATGCAAAGTATGTAGATATATGCAAATATGGTGCTATACCATTATTGATATTGGTAAGAGAACCATAACTGATGAGAGTATAGTACCTACTGCCGTGTCTACAGTATCTAGAGTTACTATCTACTCTCTCTCACTACTGATGACTCAGCAGCTCTCCTCATCTCCATCAGGGGAGTCAATGAATCAATCTCCCGTTATTTCAACACTGACTTCTCTGTCTCCTGCCCCTGGATCTACAGGCCTGGCTTCGGCGTCTACTTCCATCCTGAGGCAATGAAACCACGGCTGTAGTGAAGGCTACCATCTACAAATACCATCTTGGTCTTGAGGTGGGTAATACCAGCCACTTCTAATCAACCTGCCTTACTTTGTAGCAGAGAACTCTGGAGCACCATTGATGATGGAGTTTTTCCCCGCGGTGGAAGACACTAATAAAGATTCTATATATTGTAGCATATTATTTATTATTCTATCAAAATATATTTTTTCATTTCGATATTGTTATTTTGATACATTGTAAAATGTTCTCATTGCCTCTCTGCTATTTCATTAGTTTCAATTTGGTTTTACATTAAATAAATTGCCGTGTAATTCTGAGGTTTGTCTTCCCTAATTTTTTATGTTACAATATACTCTATATACACTCATGGACAAAGCTTAAGGAAGTGTAAAGTCTTTGATGTCGCCAGTCGTCTGTTTATTTCTTTTTAAGGATACAGAGACAATTTTATAAAACTATTTTAGAGGCGTAATATTCTTTTAAAATAAAACAATCTCTACTGTCCTTACTGCGATGGAAAAATTAAAGGGAGGGCCTGGCTCATCAGTGGTGAACCCTCCCAGCGGTTTCGCCAGTTTAATCTACCATACCGCTGTTATATTGCATTTTTGGAACTTCCTTTTATAGTTGACTGTTGTAAGACTCTTGGAATGGGTATTTTAGAAGAACTATGGACATAAGCTTTTAGGACAGCAGAATTAAATATAATTATAAATATATAATATGCTTCGAGCAATCGCTCTTCCGCGAGGTTTGATAACAGATGGCGCGCTAGTGCATCGTAACATAATTGTTCAAATAAAAGACACAATTTGATATTTGCGGAAGAGCGATTGCTCGAAGCATATTATATATTTATAATTATATTTAATTCTGCTGTCCTAAAAGCTTATGTCCATAGTTCTTCTAAAATACCCATTCCAAGAGTCTTACAACAGTCAACTATAAAAGGAAGTTCCAAAAATGCAATATAACAGCGGTATGGTAGATTAAACTGGCGAAACCGCTGGGAGGGTTCACCACTGATGAGCCAGGCCCTCCCTTTAATTTTTCCATCGCAGTAAGGACAGTAGAGATTGTTTTATTTTAAAAGAATATTACGCCTCTAAAATAGTTTTATAATTTGATAACAGATGGCGCGCTAGTGCATAGAGACAATTTTGTTCACACTTGGTTATCTCGTGTCTTCAATAAAGGTCACTTTAATAACTTTCAGAGTTATTGTCTGAATCCCGATATACATGGTAAAAGGTACAACTTCCTTAAGTTTTGTCTTCACATGAGTGTATATAATAAAGTATATAAGAAAACAATGGCTCTCTCATATTTTAAATCTACTTGACATAAATAAACGCGCACGTACTGGGGTGATGTGCAAAATGCATTGCTTGAATGTATATTTAAAGGGAGAAGTGCTTTTTTGGTGCATATATACAAGAGAAAGACAATAAGTAATGCACATTTATCTATATAGGAAAATATTTACATTTTTATCATAAAATTAATGTTTTCTGATCATTCATCTTTTCATATCTTTAAACATAATTAAGATATCTTTTGTGTATTTTTCAGATATGCAGTCTGAAGTAAAGACAAGAATCCGAGAACGGTCGGTGATGGAGTTCCTGTTTTAAGTCAGGAGACAGCCGCTGTAATTTACTGATAGTCTGTGTATGGAGCCATGGATAGAAGTACAGTACAAAGATGGATTCAACGCTTCCAGACTTGTGATATCAGTGATAAAGAAAGGTATCTCTGTAGTGACGGACCAAAATTTGACTCTAACTGAGGAATTGATCGAGAATAACTGGACAATGACAACTTATCAAATAATGGAAAACTTCCCTCTCTGTCTAAATGAAGTATTATTAAACTTATTAATGATCTTGGATATCGAAAACTATGTTCAAAATTTTTAACATGAAAAATGATGTAAATTCGAAAAAAGATTTTTTTAGACCTCATGGAGACTTTTTCTGGGAATAAACTTCTCAGATTTTTGAATGTGTGATAACATATGATGAGATTTATCATTATGATCCTTCTTCAAACCGCCAATATATGCAATATACCCATAAAACATCGCCAGTATAGAAAAAAAACCAAAGCGTTCCCTTTCCAATGACAAAATCATGTATAGGGTCGATATTCATGGACATTCTTGAAAGAAATAGTTCTATCTCAACAAGTTATTTTAAATCATTATAAAAGCTGAAAAGATCAATTTAAACAAAAAGACTCAGCGAAAAAAAAAGTCAAGTCAAATTTCATCAGGGTATGTGAGACCACACACCAGACTTTGGCGAAGTTTGCAGGGTATAGGTGGACTTGATGTCTCACCCTGCATACAGTCCTGACCTGGCACCCTCAGATTTCTACTTGTTTGGAAGATTAAAGAGTTTTTACGTAGTAAAACAATTTTACTCAAAGCTGTTAGAATGTGGTTCAGAGAATTGGATAAGACGTTTATTAAAGTTAAGAAAAAGGCATCTCCTTATCGTGCAACTGAAAGTTGCTGATGGCTTGCGCCATCTATCGGAATAAATATAAACTATTCTCGTTGATTTGTTTATTAATTATCATTTAAAAATCAACGAGAATAGTTGATATTTATTCCGATAGATGGCGCTAGCCATCAGCAATTTTCAGTTGCACGATAAGGAGATGCCTTTTTCTTAATTTATGCACCTTATCCCAGTACAATGTAACATTTGTACTATTTTTTCACGTTTATTAAAGTGTTTTTACAAGTTGACAACAACGTTGAAGCAAATATGTAAAGAAGAAAGGTGGATATATTGAATGATTCTAATACGTATATAGAGGTCTATTCAGGATAAAATTGTGAAAAAGATATTAACATTACAAATATATTCTTACAATGAGTTTCTTTTTTATTTAAAAAAACGCTAGCTTTCAAGTTGAAGAGCGATTAACGCTTGAAAGCTAGCGTTTTTTTAAATAAAAAAGATACTCATTGTGAGAATATATTTGTAATTTTAATATAGAGGATTATTGTTAGGAGTTCTTCTATACGTAGAGAGTTTTACAGTTTGTCAATAAAAAAGCTATTATCGATGTTGCATTATTTATTCACTGAACCTTGTATACTGGACCATAAAACTTGACATAAAATGGTCTCCATAATGATGATTGAGAGAGCAACAAATACTGTGAATTATTTTGATGCACTAGCGCGCCATCTGTTATCAAAATTCGAAACTATTTTAAAGGCGTAAGATTCTTTTTGAAAATAAACAATTTCTACTGCCCTTACTGCAATGGAAAAATTAATGGGAGGGCCTGGCTCATCAGTGGTAAACCCTCCCAGCGGTTTCGCCAGTTTAATCTACCATACCTCTGTTATATTGCATTTTTTGGAACTTCCTTTTATAGTGATACTGTTGCTAGACTCTT